GACCCCGTTGAACCCCTATTTTGCAGATGGGGAAACTGAGACACAGATTTAAGTGCCTTGCCCTGGTTCAAACGCTATTGGGTGGCGAATTCATGTCCATGGGTCTATTACATGAAACCATATTTAGTCCCCTTAGAGTTGCCTACTGTCTTATACCCAAGATCACAGCACCTGCAGCCTGCATGATTTGGAGCCATACTTTACAGGGGCCATTGACAATCCTGAATGCATTACCAATGACCATAGTGGGAAAGGATCAGAAAACTGGGCTTTGGAAGCATAGGGAGGGAACTGAGGATACTTCGCTCAGAGAAGAGATGGGAGGTGGGCAGCCTTCTGACTGGCTTGTAGAAAAGAGACTAGACTTTTCCCTGGGGTTCTAGGTAGTAGCACTAGGTACCAAGGATGGATGCTTCAGGGAGATTGGTTTCATTATTTCCAACGGAAGGCTATCCAAGGAATAAAGCTGTTTGCAGACAGATTGGGAAGCCTTGGGTGGAATGAGCCTCCTGTCCCAGGAGGTGTTCAAGTAGGGATAGACTGGGCACTTGGGGATGACACTGAGGGGATTTGTGTATCAAATGGGGTTGCGGGTCTTTGGGCTTGAGAGTCCTTTCCAGCCCAGAGATTCTGTGAACCTATCATCCAGGGTAGGACATCACTGGTGAAGACCCCCAACCCTCCCCCCAACACTCCCACCAGGGCAGGACAGGAGAGTCTAGGTATCCCTCCAAAAATCTGTAATGGACAGATGTGAGAGGCAAGGAGTTCTGTCCCCCCTGGCAGGTAGCTCCAACCTCCTGGCAGGTGCATGCCTAAGATCTTGGGACTTGAGTCAGGGTCCTGAGCTGGGACCTCCTGTCCTTAGATTTTCCTGCTTCCTTTGACCGCTTGGTCTCAACTGTCCCTCTTCATAGGTGGGCTTTCCCTCTCCATGTATGGTCACAACTCCCTCCTTGGCTCCTGGTCTTCTGGATACCTGTTCCCAGCCTCCAGCCATGCCTTTCCCCCCCTCACATCTCGAGTTCGGGCCACCCATGAAACAGGCTTCTTTCTCTCTTCCAAGTCCAAGTCTGCCAGCTCCAATAGCTCTTTGCAATGGCAGATTCTTTGGGGCACAGTTTTCCCTTTGACTCCCCTTGTGCTCCCCGGGTCATCTTCAGCACCACAGTTCCTTCCGCAGCTCAGAGTCTGGGCAAAAGATCTCATTTCTGCTCAGACTAGAATGTCGGGCAGCCCAACTCCTGGATTTAGGCTGACATCATAGCAGTTTGCCATGGTGGGTGAATCCCAAGTGCCTGGGGTCTGGCCTGCACCCCTGTAACATGGCCACTCCTTAGGAGTGTGGGTTCATTGGAAAAGCTGATGTGGCTGGGTTAGAAAGGCAGACGTATGACCAGCTGGCCGGCAGAGGTCTCGAGTGGGGGCAGGCGCTGGGAGGATGGCTCCTGGGTCAGCTGCTTATGTTTGTATGCTCCTGAATCTCCACTCCCTTCCTCCTTTCCTAGATGGCAAGGAATTCTGGCTTTGGGGATATCTTATAAACAGTCAAGGAGAAATATCAGGTGCTCACATAGCTGGAACATGCCTTTGGGATGAGACGTGTTCAATGTCTCTGGGAGTCGGGAAGGTTGGACCACTGTGCTCTGGGAGGCAGCCTCCACTCCAGCCTGTCTGATGGGGGACCACACCCAAATCTTGGGTTCCTACCTTCTCCAAAGGCAGGAGGTAGGAACCTTCTGTACCAGAAGGCGGCTGCTTAGCTGTAAAGGGTTTCTAAAGCTTTCCTTTCTGTTCAAAACACTTTGCCCACTCCTGCTTCTGATTGATGAGCAAGGGCTGTATTGCTAAGTTCCTTCATTTCTAAGACTGCCCTTGGCAGCAAGACATGGGAAGGATTACCCACGTTGGCAGGATGCTGGGCTGGGTCCTGATCTCTCTAGGACCCCGTGATGGACGCAGACTGGGAATCATTAAGTGTCAGACATTATTCCTTGTCAATCAGGACATTCTTACGAAGGAGACAAGACACCCCAAATGCTTTGGACCCCTGTTGACCAAGAGGACGGTGTGTACAATGGACACCAACTCCTGCTTCCTGGGCCAAATCTGGCCTATCTCTGGGGTTAAGAAGTATCGAAGCAAGAGTGTAATTTTCTGGGCGGGGTGAGCCCCTTTTTGAGCTTGTAGTGAAACTTCTCCAGTCTGTTTTTAACAAGGTACCCGCAACTGACGTACCCACTTTCCCCCGTGTCTCTCCCCCCTCCGAATAATATTCTGAGAATCCACACAACAGGTCCCCCTTCTTTTCTAAGTCTCTCCAGCCCAGGTCCAGATAGACTCGGAGAACGTTCAAGCTGGAAGGGACTTTGGGAGTCATCTTAGTCCTTCTCAAGCCACAGTGTGCTTATGAATCACCCAGGGAGCTTGTTAAAACAGATATTCTGGTTTAGTAGGTCCGGGGTGGGGCCTGGGAGGCTGCAGATGAACAAGTCTGCAGGTGATGTGGATGCTGCTGGTCGGAGGGCCTCACTTCGGAGAATGAGGTCCAACCTCGTCATCCCACAGAGATGAGAGCTGAGGCCCAGAAGCTTCCGTGATTTGCCTCCTGTCAGAACTAGAACTCTGTTCTCTCCACTCCTAGTCTAGGATCTGCTTTGAAAAGGGCCTCCCTCCTTTTAAGCTGCCACTTCCTGCTCAGGCCCAGAGCTTCAGCATAAACGTAACATCCCATCTTAATCCCATTTTACTGTTAGGATGAAAGGCTTCTTGTCCCATCAGGACCCCCTTGCTTCACTGTGTGCATTTTTATCATCTCCAAAGGGGTTTTTAAAGTTTTTTTTTTTTTGTTCTGACTTACAGACACCTCCCCTTTTCGGCTGGAAATGTTAAAAATCATGTCTCTCTCTCCCGCAAAAGTGGGCTGGGCATCGTTTGGATACAACTATTTTCGTTCCAGGCTGGAGAAGTGCTGGGCCCAATCCATTTGGCATTCCCTGCTTTTTGGAATCTCCCCTGGAGTGGTCTGAGAAAAGTTCTCTGTCTCTGCTGCTACTTGCCACCTCCTGGGTCAGGCCAACCTTTGACTCTGCCTCAGTGTCCCAGGCTCTCAAATAGGTATTCCCTGGCCACTCTCAGAGGGGTGCTTTAAGGGCAGGGAGGCTCCCAGTGGACCAAGGGTATCAGGGCTTGGCCTGGGGCCAGTACGAACTGGTTTGCCAGACTAGGGAGGTCTCCACTCTCTTTCCCCTCCTGCTGGTGGGAAGGCAAAATGTCAGTCTGGCGACCAGGCCATAATGGCAACAAGGGGGTAAAAGTCTCCCCGAGGCCCAGGGAAGGCAGAGAACGTAAGGGGAAGTCGCGAAAACTGCCTTTTATAGACATGTTCCTTTTCTTTCTCTCTTTTTCTTCTTCCAAGTTTACTCACAGCGACATTGCCACTTGCAGGCGCCTGGTCTGTCTGTGGTTGCGCCTGGGGTGGGCGGGTGGCACCCGCGTACCCCTTCCCCCATCTTGCCTGCAAGTTGCATGACCTGCATCGGAATCCATGGGGGGGGGGCGGGGGAGCAGCTTTTCAGATGCTGGATGCAGTTGAATTCAGCGCATTCGCTTCCTCGCCTGCCCTCATCCAAGCTCGGGGAGGAGAGCCCTGCTTTCTTCTGCGTGTGAATGCCGTAGTGTGTCTGCTTGCTCCGAATTCCCTAACCCTTTCTTTCCCTTTCCGACAGCGAAGGCTCTGGTTTTCTCAGCAAACAGCTCACACTTGGCATTTTGACGTTTTATTAAAAAAAAAAAAATAGAAAGAAACCAAAACCCTAGCGAGGCAAAAAGCCGGGACCCTTTTCTCCCGACGGGATCTGAGCTTGCGTCGAAGGCTGCACCTGCTTTGCGCCCCTACCAGGAAGGGGTGCTTGTGTGGGAGGGGAGGAGGGAGGTTCTGCGCCCCCGAATCCGGAGAAAGCAGCCCGCCCGCCCCCTCACCGGGCAGCCACAGCAGCGCACCCGAGAGCCGAGCCCGAGAAGCCGGCCTCTGACGGTGCTGGCCTGCTTGCCAAAAAATGCCCCTTGCATCTCAATTTCCCGGCTGTTTCTCTCTCGCACGCACCGCTCGCCCGGGGCCACCTCGGCTCCCCAGCGCAGCCCTTTCGGCGCTGGCCCTTTCCTTCCCCGCTCCCTGCCTGCCCGAGGCTGAACGCAAAGCCCACCGCCAAAAAGGCGCAGGGGGCACGGGGGCACCAACCCGGCCGTGCCCCGCAGTCCCCTCCCAGCCGAGCCCAGCTCCGGGACCCTCGATTACGGAAATGAGTGTCATTTAGACGGAGGACCGCGCGTCCGCGGCCCCCGTCCCTGGCTCCGGTTGCCTCTCTGCGGTTCCCGTGCGCTCCCGCACCCCCCGTCGCCGTCTTCGAGCCTGTGCCCCCCACCCAGGCTCGGGAGCACTCCCCGGTCACCTCGGCCGCGTCCATTTCACTTCCTCTCGCGGTCCGGATTGCAGCAAAACACCGGGCAGCGCGAGGGCCAAAAAGTGGAAAGGAGAGCGCCTCTCGGCGTCGCGCAGCCAGCTCGCCAACTCCCCCTCCCCAGCCCAGACCCCCTCAATCCCAACTGCAACTTTTTCCCTTCCGTCTCGGTTTCCCCTTGGCTGCGGCGAGCGGGCGCCGGGCCGCGAGGCGTGGAGCGGGCGGGCGGGCGGGCGGCCGCGCGGCTGCGGGTGGCGGTGCGGGCGAGAGCAGCGAGCCGGAGAGTGGGTGGGTGGGAGGGGAGAGGACGGGCGGGGAGAGAGTGGGGTGTGGGGAAGGGGAGGGGGAGAGGGAAGGAGGGGGGAGATTCCGCTCTCCTGCCGCTCCCAGCCGGGGCGGGGGGCGGGGGGAGGAGGCCGCGAAGAGGGAGGGGAGGAGGGAGGGGGAGAGAGGGAGGGAGCCGAGGAAGACGCTCCGAGAACCCGTGCGTTTCGTAAGGCTCTGAGCACTTGTACATTTCTGCAGGCGCGCGGCGAGCCATTCGCGGCGGCTGCTGCAGCTCCGACTGCATCTTCCTCCTCCTCCTTCCCCCGGGCTCCGGGCGTGTGTGTGTGTGTGTGTGTGTGTGTGTGTTTTGCAGGTGTGTCCGTTTTAATTCTGCCCAGTAGGTGGGACTTGGTGACTTTAGCACCATATTTTCCTTTCCTTTTTTTTTTTTTCTTTTTCTTTTTTGCCTCCCCACCGTCTGTTGCAACCCTGCAAAGTCTCGGAGTCGGAGAGCGCGACTCGCTTCCCGAGGCCCCGGACCCGGCGAGCCGGCGAGCGCCGAGCCGGCCACCATGCCAGGCAGACCGCGCCACTAGGCGCTCCCCGCGGCTCCCACCCGGCGGCGGCGGCGGCGGCGGCGGCGGCGGCGGCGGCCGCGATGGTTTCAGACGCTGAAGGATTTTGCATCTGATCGCACGGCATTTCAAAGGCAGAGGCCCCCCCTCCCCCTTCCCCCCTCCCTCGCCGTCTTTGTTTCCTTCCCCCCCAGCTCTCCCCACTCCCCCCACCCCACCCCCCTCTCCTCTCCTCCTCCTCTTTTTTAGAAGCCGCGATCGGAGATGGATGTCTCTCTTTGCCCAGCCAAGTGTAGTTTCTGGCGGATTTTCTTGCTGGGAAGCGTCTGGCTGGACTATGTGGGCTCCGTGCTGGCTTGCCCTGCAAATTGTGTCTGCAGCAAGACTGAGATCAATTGCCGGCGGCCGGACGATGGGAACCTCTTCCCCCTTCTGGAAGGGCAGGATTCAGGGAACAGCAATGGGAACGCCAGCATCAACATCACAGACATCTCAAGGAATATCACTTCCATGTAAGTCGGGCGGCCGCTCCCCAGCCCGCCTCCCCTCTCGCCCCGCGTCTCCCTCTCGCCCGCCCGCGGCCGGGAGCCGGCCCTCCGCCCGCCCCTGCTCGCCGCTGCCCGCCGCCCGCCGCCCGCCGGGCGCGCGTCAGGCTCGCTGTGGCTCGGGAGATGCTCTCTGGCTGCGTAGTCCAGGTGCTCCGGCCCTAGCAGGCGGGGGCCGGAGCCGCGTGGGTGCCTCTCCCCGCGGGGGACCCCAGCCGGCCCGGGGCGCGTGGGGCCCAGCTCCCGCCCCCGCCCCCACCCTCTGGGGCTCGGTGCGAGGGTGCGAGCCGGGTTCTTTGCCCCCCACTAAATAGCAACAGTTTGGCCACGCTCAAGTGGAATAAAGTAGACGAGGTTCGATCCCCGGCAGCGGCGACGGCAGTGACAGCGGCGGCGCTTAGCCGGGAGGGAAGGTGACAGAGACTGCTCGCGATCCAGCCGAGATCGTTAACTATTTCCTTTTGGAAGCAGCAAAACATGCTGACAAGTAAACAAGTTGGGAGCTGGCTGCTCGCGGGGAGACTTTGGACATGTCGAGGCCGTCATGGACGCCTACCTCTTCCCTTTCTCTCTCGCCCGCCCTCTCCAACCCCATTTTGGGCATTTCCGAGACACCCCCCGCCTTTCCCACCCTCATCTGCATCTGGGCGCCTACAGATCCCGTCCTTGTGAGCTTTGATAACTGCGCCGGGAATTCCGAGTCAGGATGGAGAAGGGGGCGCGGGGGGGGG